CTAAAACAGATTAAAATCACCTCAACTTTCTGAGCGTCTGTCTAAACAATAATGCTTTTAGAATATTTTTAGCAGGCTTTTAGAATATTTTTAGAGTACAGAGAAGGCGCCTGCTTGATCTCAATAGGCAGGGAGTTCCACAAGTGTCGGTGCTGCCACGCTAAGCACTGATTTCCAATCCCTGGGAGAGATCTGCGGAGTCTCCATGAGCAGCTCAGGTTTCGTTTCCTCAGAGTTATAATAATAATAAATAATAATAAATTTTTATTTATACCCTGCCCTTCCTGGTTCAGAAAACCGGGCTCAGGGCAGTTAACAACAAATTTAAAACACTTAATGGATGCAACAAAAAACAGCATAAAATACAGTATAAAACATGAATAACAATAAATTTTCAAAAATCAATTTAAGGGGGGAACATCCAATAAACATTAGATGGTCACCAGGGCTAGCTGGCTAAATTGAAGGTGTTGAAGGTGACTGGAGATTGTGGTGTCTTTTTTGAGATATATGGGTTTATTTACACATATATACAGGCTGGGCTGAAGATGGAAGGGCTTCCCACGTCCACACCCCAACTTATTTTGGGTTTCCAGTCACCAACCCACAAAGCCATCATTTTGGAGAAACCAGGGTCCACATCTCCACTCACTGGGGGACCTTGGGGGCCAGTGGCTGACTCTCAGTCTAAGCTCCTCACAGGGTTGTTGTGGGGATTAAACGTGGAGGGAGAGAACCTTGAGCTCCTTGGAGAGAAAGGTGGGGTAGAAATGCATTAAATGAATAAATAGTGAGCCATGGTAGGACTCCATGCCATGGAGAGTGACTGCTGGCATGGTGTGAGGCCCACCAGACCTGTTATGAACTGAAGTTCTCACCCTGGGCCAGCAGGGGGATACTGTAGATAGTGATGCAAATAAGGGATCGAAAGTGATGTTCAGTGATTGGATAGTTTTAGAAAGTTGTTACAGTTATGTTGTACTGGAGCTCTATATAAGCAAGCTGACTGAACCCTTCAGTTCAGTTCTGTCCTGGCCTGTGAATAAGCAAGAGCTGTTTGAAGAATCGCTGTGTCGTCTGATATGTTCACTCACAACTTAACAAGACCGAATGCAGGATACCAACCTGGCCGGTGGGTTGCATTTTGGTTGGCGGGCCGTTGGTTGTTTAGATCCTGCAGCACTTATTTCCACAGCTCTGTTTACAGTTCTCCTGCTGCAAAACAATGTTTGGAAATAAGGTTTTTTCCCCCCCTTACCCCCTTCCCACCCCTGAGGTTTTCAGCTTGGATAAAGCTTAGTGATGCTCAGGCTATGTAAATAAAATTAAATGCTCGCTGCGTGTAATCGTCAACAGATTTCACGGGGCCGTGACTCACCCCAAGGATATACAGTTAGTACACAGAGACAAAGTGAAGATCGCGAAGGAAGGATGAGCCAAGCTGCCATTTTCTAAACTTCCGCATCCGTTCTAAACAAAAGCTCTGCATCCATTTTCATCTTATTTGACTGTCTTGTTCCGCTTCAGAGACTTGGGGAAAATGGCGCGATGTCATTAAAACAGCAAAACGTTAAATCAGATCAGTGTATCAGAATCATTGATATGCACTAGGAGTATTTATTTATTTATTTATTGCATCTATATGTCACCTTTTTCTCCAAGGAGCTGGAGATGACATATATGGTTCTCCCTAGGGCTTTTTTTCAGCCAGAATTCAGTTCTGGCCCCTCTCAGGTTGCCATTCTAAGGGAATAAGGGATGGAGATGTTTATGGTGAGTTCCAGAACCCCTTTTTCTAGAAAAATAGCATTGGTTTGCCCCCACAACAACCCAGCAAGGTAGGCAAGGCAGTGTCTGGCCCCCAGCAGATTTGAACCCTGATCTCTCCCAGGTCCTAGTAGTCCAACCCTCTAATCACTAGCATGGCCCCCAATATTCACTTTGTGTCTGTGCTTTTAAAAAAATTCAAATCCTTTTGCTCTGTGCTCCCTCTGCCTCAGTCTGTGATTTGGGTTCTGAGCAAAATGAAGCTCACATTCACTCTTATGAGGAATTTAAAAATGGCTATCCCCCCCCCCCACACACACACATTTTGGCAGAAGTGAATGAAATTGGCAGGCACAGGATCCTCCTCAGAGTGGATTAAGCCTGACAAATTGCAGGTCCGGGGGCTTTTGTGGGAGAGGGTTTCCATTCCCCTCCTAATCCCTATTATGACAATATTCTCATTACAGACCAAGCAAAGCTCCAAAATCTACACCAGTTTCATTTTTAGATGGGTGGAAGCAGGGTTTTCTCTCTTATTCTTTATCCTCTTCAAATAACCAAGAGAGGAGTGAATGGTGTATAACATTTTTTTCATATATTTAAAATATTGGCATTCATGCCTTCTGCCTTTGTTTCCCAATGCTTGTTTGCCTTGGAAGTGGATGCTCAATCCCAGGAGCTTTCATGCCAAGCCTGCTTATGACATCTTAAGCGATGCCTAACTGCCGAGTGAATGAACAACTTTAGTCAATTCTGAAAATGTAGAATTTCGATGTTTAAAAGCTGGTTTTTTCTTCTCAAATTTCGGGTTATAAAATGGGAGATCTGGGCAGTTTGCCTCCAAACTGAAAGCATGCTCTGAATTTTGAAATCTAAAATTCAAAGTCCTGATTAAGACCTATAAAACCGTATGCAGCTTAGGTCCAGGCTATCTGAAAGATTGTATTCCCTCATCCGGACCTGCCTGGGTTTTCAGATCTTCAGGGGAGACCCTTCTTTCGGTCCTGCCACTCACCCTCTCAGGCACACTTGGTAGGGACAGGGCCTTCTCGGTGGCTGCTCCCGGACTCTGAAACTCCCTCCCTGGAGAAGCCAGACTGGCTCCCTGCTGGCTCTCCTTCTGCCAGCAGGGGAAGCCCTTCCTGTTCCAACAGGCATTCAGGAAACTGACTGTTTTTGAGGAAAGAGTTGGCACTGCAGTGTTTTATTGTTATCTGTGTTTTTAATGGATCGTGTCAATAGTATTTTAATTTCTATCAGTGTTATTTAATTACATTTTAATGATTGCCCTTTCTATGTTTTTCGCTTTTTCTGTTTTATCTGTGTGAGCCACCTTGAGTCCCAGACTGGGGGGAAGTCAGCATATAAATAAATAATGATAATTTTGAAATCTAAAATTCAACATTTGAATCTAGAAGCTTTTATGCTTACATACAAAAGTATGAATTTTGGATATTGTGTTGAAGTTTAGTGGTCTCTTCCCACCCCACCCCCTTTCAGTTTTGCACTCTTTTTTCACTAGTCTAATTTCCAGAAATGCTTCCTTATTCTCTCTCTCTCTCCCTCTTTCTCTCTCTTCTCTCTGGCAGTTCCTGCTTACCTCTAGACACTTCCTCTCCTCTCCTCTTCCAAGCTTCTCCTTTATTCCTGAGGTGTCAGTTGCATAGAAGAATCTGCTTCTCTTCGGTTCCTGAATCCCTGGTATTTGTATGAGCCCCATAACCTCTTTTCAACAATCTATGCAGACTTTTAAAGAGACCATGGTTCCATCTGCATCTCTTTTGCAGGCAGGTGTGAAAGCAGTGTGCTAGAAATGGACAATTTCCCCATGCTGAAATATCTCTGATTTTTTAACACAGAATTTATTTGAGCTTCTCCCCCACACTGCCAAAAATCAAGGGGGTCTAGATAACTTCCCCAGCCAGCTTCTCCAGTTTCTAATGTTTCCAGTCTTACATGAAGTTTACCGCATATCAGCGAAAATTTGCCATTTTTTAAAAAATCCTCATGGAAAATTGTTAGCATTTTGATTCAGATTGCTTCCAATATGCACATTTTTGCATGTGGTTTTCCTTAATATAAGGAACGCGGGTGGTGCTGTGGGTTAAACCACAGAGGCTAGGGCTTGCCGATCAGAAGGTTGGTGGTTCGAATCCCAAACGGGGTGAGCTCCCGTTCCTTGGTCCCTGCCAACCTAGCAGTTCGAAAGCACTTCCAAGTGCAAGTAGATAAATAGTTACCGCTCCAGCGGGAAGGTAAATGGCGTTTCCATGCGCTGCTCTGGTTCGCCAGAAGCAGCTTAGTCCTGCTGGTCGCATGACCCGGAAGCTGTCTGCGGACAAACGCTGGCTCCCTCGGCCTATAGAGCAAGATGAGCGTGCAACACCAGAGTCATCCGCGACTGGACCTAACGGTCAGGGGTACCTTTACCTTTCCTTATTATACTACACATGTGTGAATAATAGCCACATATCATAGCTGTCAACTTTCTCCCTTTTTTAAGGGAAAATCCTATTCGGAATAAGGGAATTTCCCTTTTAAAAAAAAGGAAAATGTTGACAACTATGCCACTTATATGCATCCATAGGCAAAATTTCCCCTAATATACACATTCGGGGGTTTGAGAGTTGCAGTGCAGGCGTCAGAGAAGTTAAAAAAAAAAAGTACGTTTCAGTTTGTTATTGTTATACTATGGCACTTGCTCCAACAGGAGGCAGTGATGGGCGCCAGCCTGAATCGCTTTAGAAGAGGATTGGACAAGTTCATGGAAGAGAGGGCTACCAATGGCTGCTAGCCACAATGGCTAGGCTCTGCCTCCGCAGTTGGAGATAGCAGTGCTTCTGAATGGCAGTTGCTAGAAACCACACGAGGGGAGAGGTCTCTTGTGCTTCCCATAGGCATCATTTTGGCCACTGTGTGAACAGGAGGCTGGACTGATGGGCCACTGGTCTGATCTATCAGGCTCTTCTTGAAATGTTGACCATTTATATGAAAAAAAAAAATTTCTAGGGGTGCTGTTTCCTTAGCCCCAGTGTCATTTTATTGTGCTACGAAAGCAGCGTTCCTCGGTCGGGTGCTCTCCAGATGTTCTGGAATACATGGGATTTGTAGTCCAAGCATCTGAAGGGCACCAGTCGGGGAAAGCTATACAAGGGCAACACACACCAAATTACCTGTATCTGAAGGTTACTGTGATTTTATTTATTTCTTTTTTTTTCTCCTATGCCTGCTAGATTTTGAAGAAATCATGCATTGAAATCTTGGCTGCGGAACCTTCTAGTATATGTGCAGGAGGTGAGTTTAAAGCTGATTCTTCCAGCATTCATTGCTACATATAACTGTGTTTCTTCCTCGTCGTTCCCTGAGGGAAGGCAGATGCCAGAGTCGGCCATCTTTTGGCTCTCCTTGGGAAATTTTCCAGACGGAGCTTGGCTGGGAATGCTAGAAAATTCCATTTGTTTTATGTCTGCTTCTATGGAGTGATCTTGATGGGATTTGTATTAGGAATGTATTTCAATCTTTTCGTTTAGGCCAGAAGGGCTGTGAAATCTCAGTTATTGTCTGTAAGGTTTAAGAATAGCTGTTTGTCAGCTGCCTTTCTCATGCAAGAGTTTTAGCCCATGTTTGGCAAGATAAAGGGCTTTGTGGTGTATTGCAGGGATCTCCTGGACAGGCAGCTCTGCGCACATGAGGAAAGCATGGTTTAGATGCGCAACTTGGCAAAGCCTAGGAGGTGAAGCGTTTCATCAGGGATGCGATCTTGCCACAGAAGACTGATTTGTAGCAGGAGTGAATATTGACAGGGGAAATTGTGTGAATATTGAGAGGGGAAATCGCCTTGTTGTGACTTTTCCCTTTGAGAACGTAGGCACGTGAAGAGCCCCAAGGAAGTCACTCCTTTAAAATCTTTGTCGGTTTGGGTGTTTATTTTGTAATTACCTTGTATGTGCTCTCCTTTTTGAGATCTTCCTGAAAGGTGCTATGCAGTACAATTGCAACTTGCGCGAAGGTTACGTTCTGGTGATGGCGCAAAAATAAATATAGCCAAACAAATCTCATTGGAACTGGCCCTGCTCAATTATTCTTGCCTTCTGGAGCTGGTGTGCCAAATGGGTCTTGCCTGGCCTAACAGCCTCTGAGATCCTTCTGAACTGGCACTGGTATGCTCTCGTGAGAACTTGGGGCGCAGTCCGAGTTCCCAGAGCTTGTCTGAGAGCATCGCAGAGCCTGGGAGAGCTTCAAAGCTGAGAAAACCCAGCACAAAAGGAGCTTTGCAGCTCTCCACACACACACACACATATATTTAATTCTTTATTGAAGGATAAAAAGTACTTTTAACCTTATGTACTTTTTGTGAAGTTTCAACCAGCTGGCTTTCATCCGCGCTAGTTGAAATTGTTCAAGTTCATTGCGCATAATATGTGGTTGTACTGTAAATACTTCAAATAAATAAGCAAATCATGCTTCTGCCCAAGGGGTTGCTCCCCAGCAAGGGAGTTCCTCCACAGCCAGGGTGTGCCACTGCAGAGAAGGCCCTGCTCCAGGTCTACACAGTGAGCTACACCCAAAGTCAGAGCCACTGTTAGTGTCCATCAGTTGATCGCTGCTGGGAGCATCAGGAACTTCCTTGTTCAGCCAAGGGCGCTGGAGGAAGTGGCTTGGATTCAAGGTGCTTCCGCCAGTGCTTTGAGGTGATTGGCTGGCACTGATCACCTGGTGCACACCCCCTGACTAAAAGGGTCCTTGCAGCTTTCCTCCTCCCCTGCCCCAAGCAGCACCCACCGCCCTTCTGAGAAACTTGTACAGACAGACATAGCCAACAGCGAGGATTTTCCTCCCCTCTCCCGGCTGGTGCTTACCTTCCACCTTTCTGCTGCGTTGCCTCTTCCCCTGATGAGCTCACCAGCCTGCAGGGATGGATTGGCCTGGCCTGGTGTGCAGCTGATCCTTTTGGGATGAAAGAAATTGTGGCTTGGAGCACAGCCCAGATTCCTGAGTTGACTTGTGTGCTTTGCACCGCTACAGTGCAGGATCCCCCCTCGAGGCGTGCGCTGGGAGAGGCAGTGAGTGGGCGGCATCCACGCTAAGAACCAGCGAAAGAGTTGATTCAGCAGAAACCAGGGTCACTTTTCCTGCAAAGGAGTTTGAAGCGATAACAGCTCGCTCTCCCCATCGCCTGTTTGTTCTAGTTTACAAGCACTCTTGCACACACTAACGGCCACAATTGCAAAGTGGAATCTGGTTAGAAAACTTTCTTTGCATGTGTCTTAGGCTTTTTCCTTTTAATATAGGTAAAGGTAAAGGGACCCCTGACCATTAGGTCCAGTCATGACCGACTCTGGGATTGCGGAGCTCATCTCGCTTTAATGGCCAAGGGAGCCGGAGTACAGCTTCCGGGTCATGGGGCCAGCATGACTAAGCCGCTTCTGGCGAACCAGAGCAGCGGCATGGAAACGCCATTTACCGTACCTTCCCAGCAGAGCGGTACCTATTTATCTACTTGCACTTTGACATGCTTTCGAACTGCTAGGTTGGCAGGAACAGGGACCGAGCGACGGGAGCTCACCCTGTCGCGGGGATTCGAACCGCCGACCTTCTGATTGGCAAGTCCTAGGCTCTGTGGTTTAACCCACAGCGCCACCCGCATCCCTCCTTTTAATATAACTTACCCTTAAAAAAACACCAGAGATTTTTCTACTAGGTATATTACCAACAGAAATTTAAAAAAAATATATAAGACCATTGTTCATGAATGCAATTACGGCAGCTAGAATACTGTGGCGAGAAACTGGAAAAGCAAAACAACACCAACGATAACAGAGTGGCAGACACTTATGATAGAGTACTTGCAACCAGCAAAACTGACAAGAAGAGTCAGAGGAGCTTTAAATCAGAAAGTATATGGAGAATGGAGAATATTTAAGGAATATTTCAGACTATACTGTACAAATAATACTATACTAGCAGAACTTGAATGATACCTGTAAGTAAAAAAATGTAATAATATTTTTTTTTTGGATTATATGAAAATAATATGATATAACATAGAGCTGTGCGAGAAAACAATGACAGCATAAATAGTATATTGAGAACGACTGGAAGTTTTATATCCATAATTTTTATTTAATTGTTATATGAGAAGATGCAGTTTCTCTTTGTACAAAGTTTTTTCTTTTCTTTTTTCATCTTGACTTTTTTTCTTTCCTTTTTCTTCTTTGTTTCTGCTGTAAACCATCTTTTATGTTTATGTCTGTATTTTAAACCAATAAAGATTATTATTTTAAAAAATTAAAAGTATATATATAAGGCAGGGGAGGGGAACCTGACAACTTCCAGGTGTGGTTGGACCCCAGCTCCCATCCACTGGCCTGGGCAGTGGTATGGGGCGATGGCAATTGTAGCTTAGCAACACCTGATACCAGTGGCACAGTGGGTCATTGCGTCTGGCTGTTAACCAGAAGGCTGGTGGTTTGAGCCCACCCAGGGACAGCTGTGGACAGGATTCCTGCATTGCAGGGAGTTGGACTAGATGACCCTTGGGGTCCCTTCCAACTCTGCAATTCTATAATTCTTTGACAGTTTGGCACCTGGTCCTAGAAGGCTGTGTAGTGTTCCTGTTGTAGTTGCCGCTGGTCCTGTCCTGTGTGGGATTTGCCCAACAGTCTGTCCTTTGCAGACTCTCCTGAAGAATCGTTTTACAGGGTCAGTTTCTTTTGGAAGGAGGAGGCCTGGAGATGTACGGTGGTTGCTTTTGCTTTTTCTCCTTAGTAATACATCAGATGGACGCGGGTGGCGCTGTGGGTAAAAGCCTCAGCGCCTAGGGCTTGCCGATCGAAAGGTCGGGGGTTCGAATCCCCGCGGCGGGGTGCGCTCCTGTTGCTCGGTCCCAGCGCCTGCCAACCTAGCAGTTCGAAAGCACCCCCGGGTGCAAGTAGATAAATAGGGACCGCTTTCTAGCGGGAAGGTAAACAGCGTTTCTGTGTGCGGCTCTGGCTTGCCAGAGCAGCGATGTCACGCTGGCCACGTGACCCGGAAGTGTCTCCGGACAGCGCTGGCCCCCGGCCTCTTGAGTGAGATGGGCACACAACCCTAGAGTCTGTCAAGACTGGCCCGTACGGGCAGGGGTACCTTTACCTTTAATACATCAGATGTTCAGCCTGGGGGAGCATGGAGGCACCCAGAGAGCTAGAAGGGTTTCAGAATGATATTGACAAGCCCCCAGGCATCTGGTCGGCCACTGTGGGAACAAGATACTGGACTTAGATGAGCCATTGGCCTAATCCCGCAGGCTCCTCTTATGTGAGGCAAAAGATGAGGGAAATGATCAAGATGTAACTCCTGTTTATTTATTTATTTTAGGTGAGGGGGGAATCTAAGTATTTTTAGTTCTACACTCATACCTCTTGCTACGTTCAGTTCAGGTTACGTCTTTTCAGGTTGCGTCCCGCGGTGACCCGGAAGTAACGGAACAGGTTACTTCCGGGTTTTGCCGCTCGCGCATGCGCAGACACTCAGAATGACGCCACGCCCATGCGCAGAAGCGGCAAATCGCAACCCGCGCACGCGCAGACACGGGTTGCGTTCTGCTCATGTTGAGAACGGGGCTCCGGAATGGATCCCGTTCGCAACCAGAGCTACCACTGTACAAGGTTGATTTGAATCTTCTTTGACTTGAGTTGTGATGGAAAGTATATTTTGTATTGCTGTATTTTACATTTAAAAGTAAAAAAAAATGTTTCGAAAAAGAGAGAAAATGTGGTGCCTTTATTAGATGTGGGGAGGATTGTGGGAATGTTCTGGGGTGCAGGAGAGGATATATTAACTAATTATATCCTTATCCAACTTGTGCTAACAAGTTCCCAAAATATCAGCAGAGTTTATAGACATTCCCCTTTAAGTTTGCAACGGTAACATGTGCACAGGTTCGCTAGAACCTCTATAATAATTACTCTGGTAATTTCCCCTTTTGTTCCCTCTTAAAATACAAGACACGACACAGTCTTTATAAAAGTATAAAAGAGTTTACTCACGTTCCGTTCACAATATGATCCCAGAAGGCAGACAGGCTTAAAAAGGTTACATACATTTAGAATCTATCTTGTAGCAAGATAGTCCTTATCTCCTCTCTTGGCTGGGAGCCAAGAGAGCATCCTTAGATGTTTCCTCATCGAAGGAAGATGGCAGAGAGAGAGAGTGGCTGCCTGCCCTGTGCTTTTGTCATTACCTGCACAGGTGAGGCCACACCCACCTCTGTTCACATGCAGAGGAAGTCCGTCCCCAGGAAGTTTACCTGCTTGCTGGACAGACATCCCTCCCCATGTTCTAACATGTACACTCTAGGAATGTTGTCATTGACTGCTCCTGTGTTTACATCCCACAAGGAGAACCAGTAATTCCCTGTCTTTCCAGAGTCATTCCAAGTGGTCGTGACGGGGAACGGCTTTCGCCACGCTCGCAATGTCGACCGTGTCCTCTGCAGCTTCAGGATCAACGAGACGGTCACGCTCAGTGAGTAGTTCGCTCTCCTCTCTGTCTGAATGCTCAGCTGGCTAATGGTGCTAGGCTTGGCTCGCTGTCCACTTCCATGATGTTTGCCCCTTCGCTTTGGGAAACCCTTGCGGAAAGCAGGAGAGCTCCATGTGTTGAGAGCCAGTGTGGTGTAGTGGTTAAGAGCAGTGGACTCGTAATCTGGTGAACCGGGTTTGCGTCTCCGCTCCACGGCATGCAGCTGCTGGGTGACCTTGGGCTAGTCATACTTCTCTGAAGTCTCTCAGCCTCACTCACCTCACAGAGTGTTTGTTGTGGGGAGGAAGGGAAAGGAGATTGTTAGCTGCTTTGAGACTCCTTAGGGTAGTGATAAAGCGGGATATCAAATCCAAACTCCTCTTCTTCTTCTCCTGGTCAAGGAGCATAGCAGATGTTGTCCGTCTCCAGGAGAGGCAGGGATGGTGTTAGGTTGCAGCAGTATCTCCCCAAAGTGAGCGGTGACACCCCTGGAGTGCTGTGGGATTCCCTAGGAGGCAAGGGCGCAGCAGCGGGGTGTTTGAGGTGTAAATGAGTCTCATGTATCTGGACCCCTGAGACAGAGAAGTAGATGCTACCCTGCTTTCCATCTCCTCACATGACAAGGTACAATAAAGATCCAAGGCTAATCAAGTTATTTTGGCATCCGAGGCAGGAAACCCCACAAGCACCTCTCCTTTTCCATGGCAACAATAAATTAAATAGCTAACAGTCTGAAGTCCCTCCACAGCACTCAAAATCGGCCTCCTGAGTTGGCCTGCCTCATTTGCTGCCTTCTAGGGGAAAGGCTCTGAGCTGTCGTTAGGCTGGGGTTTTATGCTGGATTCATTTGTGTCATGTTTTATCATGTGAGTTGCTTTGAGTTTGCTTGAGTGGGAAGGCAAGGAGGACATAAGTTACTGAAACAGACAAAAATAAGCGGCATTTTGTGCTAAAGTAAGCTCTCCTGGCGTGCTCTGGTCCATGGGGTCACGAAGAGTCGGACACGACTAAACAACAACAACAAGCTCTCATGGTAACCAGCGACTGATCTTACGCATTTCAATAAAAATTCAGATTCACCATATTATGTAGAAGCTTTTTCTGACAAGCAAACGAGAAACTTCTGGTTTTGGGGTCAGACTCAGAACAGCCAGGTCAGAAGATCACGTGCCTTGAATATAAAATATAAAATATAATATTATGAAGATACAACAAAAGGAATCTAGGAATCAGTGGTTCCTGAATTGCGCAGTATTGTCCCCTGGGAGGCGGTAGGATTTCCGGGGGGGGGGGGGTTTCTAAGAAGCAAGTGGGGGCAAGAGGGGAAACTGGAGGTGTAAATGACTATTAGAGACTTTGAAAAGCTGGTACCACTGGATCAAGTTCACCAGTTCTGTTGAATTAATTAAAATTCATCGTATTCAGTGCATTTTGAATAGATATGCAATTAATTGTTAGTGTTTTGAATTTTGGGAGGTTATTATCTTCTTTAGTGGGTCATGCAGACTTCTATTCTGAATAATGCTTTTTATAGGGTAGGGGGCAGTGGGGATGAATTTATGGAACCGGGGGTAGGGCAAAAAAAAGTTTGGGAACCATTGAGCTAAATCTAGAGCCACATATTTTTACAGTAGGGAAAGGCAGCATAACCTTCTTAGATTTTTTCCAGAAAAATGTCCGCGTCTCCTTTGTGAAGATGTTGGACGGAGTCCTTTCCCTAGTGTAAATTAGTACAGTTTGACACAGAGCTGCCTTCAAGTCTTAAACTTGGAACTCCCTCTCCATTCCTGCATTCTTGAGGCGGTGATGTGACTCTTGGCTGCTGCCGGCTTTAAAAGCTGAGCTGAATCAATTAGGACCTGATGGGAGCCGTATGTAGGTCACATCATGCTGCTCTGGATGCTTCTTTTGGTGCAGCTTCTCGTGGTGCCAGAGGCAGATAAGGCAAAACCAGCAAGCCATTCCTGCTTCAGTTAGACCAGTGGGAGAGCAATGGGGAGGTTTTTCTAAAAGCCACAGCATTCATCCATGAATCCAGAGCAAAGGAAGTCATTGTACCACTCTGTAATGGGTATGAGTTACTCGTTGCCTTGTTAAACCTTTCTGACTGTGCAGCCCTTCTCATCGTGGCTGCCTCAGTCGCTAGCAGAATCCGTCAGTGGGCGTTTCTTAAACCTCTTCCAACATAAAAGCTGTTTGACGCCCAGTCTCCTCCTCTCACTGCGCGGGAGTCTTCTGCGCAGGGAGGGCGTGGGTAGCGGAGGACCTGTGGTCTCCTCACTGATGTCCAGTGAAGAGTCCTGGAGCCCTCTCTCCGATTCCCCCATCTGCCCCCCTTTATCCCTGGTGTTGCGCTGATTAGCTTTCCCCTCTACTGAGCTGCTTCTCCCCCTGCTGCTGGGTCCTTTGCCAGCATCATCTGGGAGCCACCACTTCGCCTCTCGCTCCAATGTCAGTTCCCTGACACACTCAATTCTGCCTTGGTTAGACCCCGCCTGGATTCCTCTGCCCAGTCCAAGAAGGAAATTGACCATCTGGAAGATGCTCAGAGGAGGGGTGACCAAGATGAAACAGGGTCTTTCTGAGGAAAGGTTGAGGGAGTTGGGTGCAGAAGAGAAGACTGGAGGTCACATAATAGCGTTCTTCAAATACCTGAAGGGCTGTCCCGTGGAAGATGGAGCAAGCTTGTTTTCTGCCGCTCCAGAGGGGACGACCCCAACCAGTGGAGTCAAAAGACAAGAAAACAGATTCCGACTCAACATGAGGAAGAACTTTCTGGTGGTATGAGCTGTTCAGCAGCCAACTATGTCGGAAGGTGGTGGACTCTCCTTCACAGGAGGTTTTTAAAGACGGATTGAGTGGCCGCCTATCAGGGATTCTTGAGTTGTGATTCCTTCACTGCAGGCGTTGGACTAGATGACGCTTGGTGTCCCTTCTGACTCGCAACTATGTGATTCTGTGAAGTTCTTGGTAAGGGAGACAGCCCGCTTTGTAACATTTACAATTCCAGGTGTGTGTGAGAGAGAGAGAAAGGGGTGGAAAAAAGTAGACCCACCTTCTTTCTTCCACGTGGAATTTTATCCCAAGTTGAAGATGAAGCATCTGCTGTCAATTTAAAAAGCTTAAGCACGACAGAACGGTCCATTAGAGAGAATGATATATATTTTTTTGCCCCAGCCTTTTTCACTGTCTACACAAACAGCTGACCCTGTGACATAACTGCCTATATTATTCATTCGTCTCCAGCTCCTTGTCCCTCCACCCACTCACAACCCAAGGCTGTCGTAAGTTGCTTTGGCTCTCCGAATGCTTCGATGCAGAGCAGGAAAATAATAGCACGATTCCGGCCTGGTTTTCATTACAGCATGAGCAAAACACTTCTTCCCCATTCGCTGGGCTCCTGAGCAGGCGATTTTTCTGGCTTGGAGAATCCAGCACTGTCTCTCCGACTGCATTCTGACTTCCCCACAAAATAAACTTCAGGCTGTGTTTTTTTTAAAAGGGGCTCTTTTGTTGGAGGAAATATTCCATGCTGCCACCATAGTGAGAGTTGGAAAAACGTCTGCGCCAGAATAAGCAAACATTTCTGGATGGTGTGAATATTTCCGAGGGTTGCATGACTGAAGATCCACTGGCAAGGAAGCAGATGATATGTAAAGATTCAAAGTTCACAATCCCTAAATTGACTACAGTATGACACATAAAACCAGCCACACTTAGGGTTCTCTCCAATAATAAATAAAAATAACCCAAGGGTGCAAGTAATTTGATTTGTTTTCAAGTGGTTCACATGGACAATTGTTATTTATTATTGATTTATATGCCACTTATGTGCCTAATTGGCTTTTAAGTTTGTTTTAACTATAAAAACGACATAAAATTAAAACACACAATGACAAAACCGTTAGGTCAGTTCCCTAACCAAGGATTCTTGAGTGAAATTAGTAGTCATGGAATAGAGAGGTTCTTTTACAGATCAGTAACTGGTTCAGAAGCAGGAAGCAGAGAGTGGAAGTTAATGGATGGTTCCTGTGTAGAAAGTGGAGTGCAGTTGTTTGGAACTGCAGGTGGGCACAGTGGTGTTGAACTCAAGTCCAGCTTGCAGGCTTCCCATGAGCATTCATGGAGTCTGTCCGTGGCTACTAGGCATGATCTGCCTCCATCGCAGGAAGCAGTAATGGTCCCAGATACTGGTTGTTGAAAGCCACAGGAGGAGAGAGTGCTTTTGTTCTCAAATCCTCCTTGCAAGTTTCCCTCAGGCATCTGTTTGGTGTTAGTGGCAAGGACAAAATATAGGTAGAAAAGGAGAATTCCCTCAATGTCAAGATCCAGATTTGGGGCAATTACTCTTCGGTGAGGCTCATCGCTGTCTAATTACTTTTTCAAATTTGGTATCCCAGTTTCAAATGCATCACGATTTTGTTTTGCAAGAAGTCTTTCCAGGGAGCAGTCAGATGGAATGGTGGACACTAGTTTTTGTTTGTGCTGCAGAGGGGAGGAGGGGAACAGCCGAAGGAGAAAGCTGTCTGTATTTGTGATGAAGCAGCAACTGATGATCAAGCAAAAAGCGAGCCCTCCCCACTCGCCAGCTAAACTTGCATTTCCTTGGGAATGTCAGACTACAAAGGATGAGCAGATTTATTGTGGGGAAGGCAAAGAGAGCCTTACGAAACCTTCTCAGGAAGTGGAAGCACAAGACCTTGAATCATGGCGTGGATAAAAGAGGCTGGCTAAGGGAACCCAACCTGGTCCCCTCCAGATGTTTTGGACTACAACTTCCACCAGCCCCAGGCCGTGTGGCCATAGGATACTGCAGCTGATGGGATGCAGTGGTCCAAAACAACTGGACTTTTAGGCTGGGAAGGCTGAACTAAGCTAAGAGAAGGATAAACTAGAGACCTTGGGGTGATGTTCATCTACATCTTACAGAGACAGCGTGGTGTAGTGCATACCCTCCGACATTTCTCCGATGAAATTAGGGCCGTCCCATTCCATAATGATAATTCTACTATTTGTACCCCACCCATCTTACTGGGTTGCCCCAGCCATTCTGGGCAGCTTCCAACATATATAAAAACATAACAAAACATTAAACAATAAAAAACAAAATCTCTATACAGGGATTCCTTCTGTTGGCACTGGGGAGGGGGAATAACTCCATACCCTCCAACATTTCTCCAATGGAAATAAGGGACACCCTAAGGGGAAAATGGGACATTCCGGGATCAAATCAGAAACCAGGATGGTTTCTCTAAATCAGGGATGTCCCTTGAAAATAGGGACACTTAGAGGTTAGAGTGTCAGCAAGGCCCTGCAAGACCAGAGTTTGAATCCCCACTGGGACATGGAGCTCACTTGGGCAAGTCATTGCTTCTCTCAGCCTAAACTACTTCAAAGGGTGGTTGTGGGGACTGTATGAGAAGAAGGCAATGGTTGTGCATTTAATCCCCACAACAATGCTGTGAGGTAGGCTAGGCTGAGAGGTACTGACTGGGTCCCAGGGTCACCTCATGAGCTTCATGGCTGAGTGAGGATTTGAATCCTAGCCTCCCAGGTTCTAGTCTGACCCTGCAGTCACTACACCACTGTTGCTAAGTGACTCTTAAAAATGAAGTGAGTGAAAGGTTTCTCCAGGTGAACAGGAAGAGATGTCTTACAGTAGTCCCTTTTATGCCAGAAGTTTCTAACATAACTGGGCTGGGCTGCTGGACTAGGTATAAAAAACAAAACAAAACCCCAATATTGTGGACTAGTAACTTGCAAGGTTGTGTTAAGTATTGTTGACATTGAGAAAAGTAATGGGGAAAATATTCTGAGCAAAGAAAGCCAAAATGACTGTTGTGAGATGTTATGTTTCTCTGAGGGCTTTTCCTGAGGTGACTGGGAACAAACTGGGAATACTGAGCCAACCTTGCTATGCCTGGGAGCAGAAATGCCAAGCTCATCCAGACTCCAGCCCAGCTGGTCTCCTTGCAGTCAGTCGCCAGCATTGTTTACTACAAGATGCTTTGGGTTCCTGCATAAGCATGTTGAGTAACTCAAAGAAAAGACCTTGTCGGCCTAACACAAGAGGAAATGAAAAGCAGGCTTTGGGGCTGAAGTGGGATTAAGGCTGTTCTTTGGAATTGTCTAAAATAATCAAATAAGATTGTCAAGGCCAAAAGGTTAAAAAGATGCTATGATCCTTTCAGCTCAGCTGAAGATGGTTCTACAACCTAGCTGATGTTGTTGTTTTTGCAGCAGTTGGATTTTGCTTTAAAATGGTCAAAACTGACCAATGCCGACTCAACCAAACTGGCCGGGTCGGGTTTGAACCCTTGTCTCCCAGGTCGACACTTTAACCACTGTGCAACGCTGGCTCTCTCTGAGGGACCCTTTCAAAATGGAAGCCCTGTTTAGAGAAGAGGCGAGTAAGAGGTGAAATGATAGATGTTTCTAAAATTATGCATAGCATGGAGAAAGTGAATTCCTCATAACACTGGAATTCATGGACATCCAATGAAGCTGAATTTTGGAAGATTCCTGGCAGATAAAATGAAGTCCTCCTTCATGCAGGGCATAGTTAAACTATGGAACGCCCTCTTGCAGGAGACCGTGATGGCCAGCAACACTGATGGCTTAAAAAGAAGACCAGACCAATTAATGGAGGAGAGGGCAATTGATGGCTAATAGTTGCTGGAACCTGCAGGTTCTGCCTTCAGGCTTCCTATGGACATCTGGTTACATACCCTCCAACATTTCTCCGATGAAAATAGGGACGCCCTAGTCCATAATAATAATTTTGCTCTTTATACCCTGCACATCTGACTGGGTTGCCCTAGCCACTCTGGGCAGCTTCCAACATGTATAAAAACATAATAAAACATTAATTCCCTACCAGGACAGACTTTGCTCGTGTGCTCAAGACATCGATTCTATAAAACATATTTTGCTGCACTGTGCGAAATACGAGCAAGCCAGGGCTGAACTGATATTACCCTTGTTGGTACCTTTCCCGGGAAAATCAGAGGCTCACTATGTCAGGTTCCTACTGGAAGACCAGACAAACACTAGAACATTAGTCAAGTTTTTATCGGTGGTTGCAAGAACCAGTGATCCCTATCTTTAAGTCTGATCAAAATGCTTGTTTAACCTGGAGGTACACTGTCTGAATTGTGCATTGCTTTGTAACGATTTGTTGGGTCTCTGGACTGTAATAAAGGTTGATTGATTGAATAAAACATTAAACATTTTTTTAAAATATTGCTATACAGGGATGCCTTCAGTTGGCACGGGGGGTGGGGTAGATAACTAAACACCCTCCCACATTTCTCCAATGAAAATAGGGACAACCTAAGGAAAAGCGAGACATTCCAGGATCAAATCAGAAACTTGGACCGCTTCTGTAAATCCAGGACTGTCCCTGGGAAATAGGGACACATGGAAGGTCTGTGGTTAGCTACTGTGAGAACAGGATGCTGGACTAGATGGGGCATTGGCCTGATCCAGCAGGTTTTGCTTATGTTCTCACGTTTCTGTTCTTCAGGATGAGGCAGCCCAACCCTCATCTGGAGTGGAGGACAGGACACGTGTCATGCAAACTTCAGGGCTTGGCAGTTTATTTCCGAGCCAAAGTTAATGTGCTTTTCTGATCTTTCTCCCCCCCCCCTATGATTTTTATTGAGGTTTTCCTATCATACAATAAGATTACAGCCACGTAAGATACAAAGGAGGGACGTGGGTGGCGCTGCGGGTTAAAGCCTCAGCGCCTAGGACTTGCCGATCGAAAGGTCGGCGGTTTGAATCCCCGCGGCGGGGTGCGCTCCCGTTGCTCGGTCCCAGCGCCTGCCAACCTAGCAGTTCGAAAGCACCCCCGGGTGCAAGTAGATAAATAGGGACCGCTTACTAGCGGGAAGGTAAACGGCGTTTCCGTGTGCGGCTCTGGCTCGCCAGATGCAGCTTGTCACGCTGGCCACGTGACCCGGAAGTGTCTGCGGACAGCGCTGGCTCCCGGCCTATAGAGTGAGATGGGCGCACAACCCTAGAGTCTGGCAAGACTGGCCCGTATGGGCAGGGGTACCTTTACCTTTACCTTTAAGATACAAAGGAAGAGAAAGGGGAAATCGAAAAAAGGGGGGGAACAAAGAAAGCAGATACAGAGAAACATTAGCAAAAATTACAACAGAGGGACTTCCGAATTTCCATCTGCTGGTGGAATTACTTATTTATTTATAAATTATATATAAATATAATTTATTATATATATGATTATTTAAAACCATTGGTCAATGCGAACAACTATCTGCTCCGCTTTCTGTTAAGCGGTATTTCCTCTATATTACAATGTCTCGTAGTAATTCATTTCCTTTTTTTGGTCTTATTTATCTTTCAAGACTTGATTTATTGCCCATTTCTCTATGAATTGAAATCATTGGGAAACAGACTTATTTCAGTACCATTGCTATCCATGGTGAGATTAACCTTCCATAGAAATAGGACTTTTTTTAAAAAAAGTTTTTTATTGAAAGATTTTCATGGATAACAAAGGTACCTATACCGTCCATGTTTTCAGTTCATAGAGTCCTATCTGAAGGTCAGTTGCATTCAGTGTGAGATGCTTCTGCCATAGGGATTGTGAGGTTATGGGGAGAGGTTGGAGAGCCCAGAGCATGGCTGCTTGCATTCAGTTGGTTGCAGTGAGTTTTGTTTGTGGGTGGAGGGAAAAGGGGATGTTGGGTCAAATCAGCCATATCAATTTGTATTCTGTCGGTTTGTGGGGGGGGGTTAGGTTGTTGTCTTGTTGGGCTGTGTATGTAATGAAAGGGAGCCACACCGGGGTGAAGGCATCCTCTTTTGTTTGTCCCCGTGCAGTGGTCCATGTTCACTCCCGATAGGTCCCTTCAGTGTCTCCCCAGCACTGCTGTTCTTAATTGTACAGTCATACCTCGGGTTACAGCTGCTTCAGGTTGTGTTTTTTTTTGGGTTACGAACCGCCGAAACCCGGAAGTACCAGAATGGGTTACTTCTGGGTTTCGGCAGTCGCGCATGTACAGAAGTGCTAAATCACGCTTTGCGCATGCTCAGAAGTGCCGAATCGCAACCTGCGTGTGCATCCCACACAGATCATGTTCGCAACCCGAGCGTCCACTGTATAGGATTTTTGAAAATTGCATTTATTTGGAAACATCAGCTGTGGTCTTATTATGTGTATATTTGTCTTGTATGTGAGGTTTGTATGTGAGCCTAAGCAGAGATGTCTACCCCTGTTTTCTATATCTTATTGAGGATTTTGCTTGCTGTGCTGTATAGCACAGGAGGACGCAGGTTTGGGTGGAAATGGGTATATAACTGGGGATACATAGCTGGGGGTGGGGGGTGGGAGATTATGTCTATTTCAGTTTGCTGTAAACTGCAAAAAAACCACTGTTGCAGAGCACTGTAAGCATGTTCTTTGGTAAAACAAATACAATCGCTCCCACTTTAATTGCCACCTGCAAACGTTGTTCTGCCCAACTCACATGCACTCAGACTGCCTTCTCTGCTTCTCTTTTCAGACGAGAAACCATTCAAGGTGGAGGACACCTACCTGCTCTGCCCTGCACCTGTTCTGCGAGAAGTTGGCATGTAGGTTTGTTAGAATGTGGGGCGGCTCTTACCTCTTTGTGCCTTTCTTCTGTTATGCATGTTATTCATTAGAAACCTCGTGATTTAGGGGTAAGGTTTTCTTTTTTCTATGACTGCCTTATTCCCTTCTTAAGAAAACCTTTTATTTTGTGGACTTGTCAGGATTCCTTCTGCACCTTTGGCTGAAGTTGGTGCCATTGATGCTGAAATTAGGCTAACTGGGCTACCCAAAACAGACCTGCAGCTCCACGTCTGCAGAGCCAGGACAAGCTCTCTCTCAGCGCAGCTGCCTCCATCCCCTTTGCTTCTTTGCAGTTGTCTTTGGCAAGAGTAGAGCTTTGTACTCCTCAAGTGATAGGAAGTTTCTGGGTCAAAAACTTGCTGTATTTTTCGCTCTATAAGACACACTTTTCCCCTCCTAAAAAGTAAGGGGAAATGTGTGTGCGTCTTATGGAGCGAATGCAGGCTGCGCGGCTATCCCAGAAGCCAGAACAGCGAAAGGGATCGCTGCGCAGCGCCCCCTCTTGCTGTTCTAGCTGCTGGCTTAGCTGCACGAAGCCTCTTCAGGGCACAGGGAGCCTTCATCCCGCTGCCCTGAGGAGGCTTTGCATGGCTATCCCTGGCTTTTGCGGGAAGTGGGGGAAGGGACAGAGGGCTGCCCTTCTCCCTCTCAGGGAAAAGCCTGCAAGCGCTGCACACATGCTCCTTGCAGCTCGTGAAAGGGAGCGCTGAACAGAGCCTGGGATGCATACAAGCTCTGCTCAGCGCTCCCTTTAAAGAATTTTTTTTTCTTGCATTCCCCCTCTAAAAACTAGGTGCGTCTTATGGTCAGGTGCATCTTATGGAGCGAAAAATACGGTAAATTGAATCTGCTTCCTTGTGATGAGACTGAACTGGAAACTCTCAGTGTTGTTGTTTTTTGTAATGTCTATCTGTGCAAATAAATGTGTTCATTCTTGGGAAGAATCCAAGCAGATGGGGCTAGTCTTTTCTCAGTTCCCAAGTGATGGGCAAGCGAGCGGATAGGCTGGGGCGGCTTGCAACATTGCATCCAATGGCACGTTCTTGGCAATAGTGCCTGAGTCTGCCCAGCTGGGGGGCGGGGGCAAGACCCACCCATGTGCTCTAGGGCACAGAGCCACTTCTTTAAATCATGGTGCTTAACCAGACAGCCAAAAGTTGCCCTCACGCCGCCTGCTCCCACAGGATTTCAAGAGTTGGAAGGGACTCAGGGCATCATCCAGACTGACCCCCCCCTCCAAACCCGCAACATCACATTTTCATGAGCTAGGGGGATTGTAAGTCCGTGCCCGGTTTGGGTAATGACTCTCGCCCTCCCTCCCTTTTTCTAGGGAAGCTGCTCTCCAGGTCAGCATGAACGATGGGCTCAGCTTCATCTCGAGCTCCGTCATCATATCCAGCACACACTGTGTAAGTGACCAGCTTAGAAATCCATCCTTGGGTATCGCTAAGGGAGCATCGAGAGCAATGGCTCTGCTTTGGCTACTGTTGACTTGAGTGGGAATGTGGGCCGGCTGGACTGCATGTCTTAGACACAGGTATGAAATGCAAGGGGAGAGATGATAACGGCTGAAATCTGGCAAGATTGCCTTTTGATGCTTTCATTGTTCAGTGACATTTGCTCCTGCTTATGTTATATAATTCTTCTAGGCTGAAGTCCTAGACGCACTCTCCTGGGAGTAAGACCAGTTGAATTTGATGGGTCTTCTGTTCATAGGAGTGTGCTGCTTAACTTGCAGAGCAGTTTAGGGAAGAGTTGGTCTGGCAGCTTCAGCTGGGTCCTTTTGGGAACCCCCTCCCTCGAAACAGCCACTTTAGCTGTCATTCTTGCACTGCAGGGGGTTGGACTAGATGACCCTTGGGGTCCCTTCCAACTCTACCATCCTATGATTCTGTGAGCCCCTGCTTCAGTGAGCTCTTGGTCACTGGACTGGATGTGCTAGAGCAGTGTTCCCCAACCTTGGGCCTCCAGCTGTTTTTGGACTACAACTCCCATCATCCCTTGCTAGCAAGACCAGTGGTCAAGGATGATGGGAATTGTAGTCCAAAAACAGCTGGAGGCCCAAGGTTGGGGAACACTGTGCTAGAGGATATCTGCAGCAAGGCTTATCTGGGGAGGCGAGGAGTGTTGAGGGGAATCAAGACTGGTCTGAGAGCCAGCATGGTGTAGTGGTTAGAGTACTGGGCTATGGCCTTGGAGACCAGACTAAGTCGTGAATCTTCCTGGGTGACAGTCACTATCTCTCAGCAGACCCTACCTCACAGGGGGTGTTGTGAAGGTAAAATGGGAGCCCTATATTCTAAACAAAATGCTTGTTTAACCTGGAGGTAGGCTGTATGAATTGTGTATTGTTTTGTGATGATTTGTTGGGTCTCATGTCTACCACCTTGAGCTCCTAGGAGGAACCGTTAACAACAACAACAAGATGTTGATGATGATGATAATTGTGCACTACCTCACCAAGTTCTGTCTGCTCTCAGCCAGCCCCATCTGTCTGCCTTCTTAGAGCCCGCCCAGGGGGCAGCCCTGCCTGTTAGCTTCTGTCTTTTGGAATTAAATTACAAGAAATGAGATTCCAACTAAACATTAGGAATAACTTTTTGAGGATAAGAGCTGTTCAATAGTGGAACGGACTCCCTCAGAAGGTGGTGGACACTCCTTCATTCGAGGTTCGTAAGCAGAGGTTGGATGGCCACCTGTCAGAGATGATTTAACTGTGGTTCCTGCACTGCAGGGGAATTGGCCTAGATGACCTTTGGGGCCCCCCCTTCCAGCTCTGCAATTCCAGGATTCTGTGACACTCTCAGTTGCCCTCTTAGTTCTCAGCAGAGAAGGGGTCAGTGGGGACAAACCTGGAATTAGTTGCCTCTGATTGCCATTGGCTTTGGCTCCACCTCCTGTTGACCTTGCTTGGAGTCCCAAGAGGCACCAGACATTGCTGGTAAGAAAAGAATCATGCTTGTCTCCCTCCCTGCCCTTCCTCCCCACTGGCCAGCCATCTTCCCATCCTCCTTTGGTCCCATCTGTACAATCATCATCCTGTACATTACGCATTTTGGCTGGAAACCATCTTAGATGCTGGCCAAGAAATTGAGTATCCTGCACGGTCTGGGCCAACCGCAAGCCGATGTGGTCAAGCAGTTACCAAGCAGAACTTCCCTTGAAATTATTGGGTGTTTCGCCCAAGTGAGGGCGGCCAGATTGCTCCCAGAGGGTTTTGCACAGGCAAAGCTCATTCCTTGTCCCTTTCTGGATCTCTCGGACAAAACTGGTTCATGTTGTCATGTGGATTCTCAAAAAAAGAAGCTAAGTTATATAATACATTTGTGGGCAGCCTAGAGAGCTGCAGTCCCCAAACACTGATGTGTGGGGATTAAAGAAAATTGGTGTGTGTGTGGGTGTGTCGTCGTCATCCTCTTTGAAACGCAACCAGCAAAATAGCCTGGAGTTACCAGGATCCTTGACATGATTAATGTATGTTGGTTTCCAAAGCTGCCATGCATGTCACTTTTTGCGGTGCTTGCAAAAACAAGGTGGTACGATTTCCTCTCGTTTTTCCCCTTCCCCAAAGTATTTAATATTTCAGTTTAAGCCCTTGCTGGTAACTTGATGACAAAAGGGCCCTCTGCGCATTCTTTCCTTGGGAGAAATCTTCTAGCAGCATGAAACTCAGGCTCTCTTGCACCTCCCCAACAAGGAGTGAGCTGGCTGTCGTACATTTGTGTGAACTGGTTTCCCTTTGGCTAAAGGACTTGGGGGCTAGAAACCCTCCTGTTCTGAGGCCTCTGATTGTGAATGGAAGGAGAGAGCAGAGAGGTGGCCAGTTCTGTTGATGACAAAAGGATCTCTCCAAACCAGGTGAAGGGGCAGTAACATGGCAAGTGCAGTTCAATGTCAGCCACTGGGCAAAAAGTCCTAACCACTTAATTTGCTGATGGTGGTGACAGATCAAGAAAGAGACTGGAGTGAAAGTGATTGATTGATTGAATTTATATACCACCCTATACCTGCAGGTCTCAGGGTGGTTCAAAATAACACCGTTGCTCCGTCTATCAGCTGCTTTTCAAAGTTTCACACAGGAGCCTGATCTGATCTGAATGCTAGATGATTCAGGGCAGACAGAAGAAAGTCCTTATTCATGCTGCACGTAGTTGAACTACAGAGCTTGCTGTCACAGGAGGCAGCGATGCCACTGAATAATAATAATAATAATAATAATAATAATAATAATAATAATAATAATAATAATTTATTATTTATACCCCGCCCATCTGGCTGAGTCTCCCCAGCCACTCTGGGCGGCTTCCAGTTGAGTGTTAAAAACAATACAGCATTAAATATTAAAAACTTCCCTAAACAGTGCTGCCTTCAGATGTCTTTTAAAGATAAGATAGCTGCTTATTGCCTTGACATCTGATGGGAGGGCGTTCCACAGGGCAGGCGCCACTGCCGAGAAGGCCCTCTGCCTGGTTCCCTGTAACCTCACTTCTCGCAGCGAGGGAACCACCAGAAGGCCCTCGGCACTGGATCTCTCGGCTGAACGATGGGGGTGGAGACGCTTCTTCAGGTACAGTGGTACCTCGGGTTACATACGCTTCAGGTTACATACGCTTCAGGTTACAGACTCCGCTAACCCAGAAATAGTGCTTCAGGTTAAGAACTTTGCTTCAGGATGAGAACAGAAATTGTGCTCCGGCGGCGCGGCAGCAGCAGGAGGCCCCTTTAGCTAAAGTGGTGCTTCAGGTTAAGAACAGTTTCAGGTTAAGTACAGACCTCCGGAACGAATTAAGTACTTAACCCAAGGTACCACTGTATACAGGACTGAGGGCTTTACAAGGGGATTAGGCAAATTCATGGAGGAGAGGGCGATCAAAGGCTACGACAGTTATGTTCTGGCTCCGCAGTCGCAGGCAGCAATACTTCTGAATATCAGTTGCTGGGAACTACAGGAGGGGAGAGGGATCTTGTGCGCAGGTCCTGCTTGTGGTCAGCCATTGTGAGAACAGGATGCTTGACTTGATGGGCCATTGGCCTGATCCAGCAAGCTTTTCTTATGTTCTTGAACCATATTCATTAAAAAGTACTGGATTCTTTTCCCCAGGCAGCTTTGTGTAATTTCTGCAGGGTTCCCCCCCCCTTTGTTGAACTGTTAGGAGCTGAATTCAGCATGAGAAAGGCTATATACAGTAGCAGCTCTGAAGGCTTGAATTATGCACCAGAGCTCTTATGTAAGAAGTCTCCTTGGGTGCTATGATATTATGTGGCTTTGCCTTAAACAATATTCTGCCTGTATTGTGATGCTCCAGCTGTGTTTCCTTCCTTTTCAGCCTTCATAGGGAACAGCAGGTTTTATTGCAGTGATTACCAAGTGATGAGTCAGGACGTGCAGTGGTTTGGAGAGGCTTCATCAATCAGTCTCTAGGCTGCCAGGATCACTCTCAGGGCAAGGGAGCCTGAACTGAGCCTCTTCCCCCCCCCTCCTTTGGGCCCGTCTTTCTTGGTCTTTGGTTGACTTGGACCATTTTTCAACATGTCCAGTGTGGCTGCTGATTTCTGAGTTGCAAAACACTTTCCCTGCCTTTCAATTGGTGCAGTCCAGAATCACAATTAACAAACAATTAAACAATGATCATCCAGCAACTGGGGTGGGGGAGAGAGAGTCCACAGTAAGCAGCAGGTAAAAACCAGTGTGCTAAGGCTTGGTTGACTATTATTTGTTCCCTGCTAGGTAACCAAGGCCAGGGCCAGCCCACCCATGACGGAAGGTGGGGCAAGTGCCTCAGGCAGCAGAATCCATAGGGCAGCAGATCCAACCTCCAAGGATTGCATTGCCTGCTGATGCTGCCACTGCCTCAATGACGCTGACAGCTGCAGCAAGCTCCTTGGCCATGGTGTGCTGTCAGCGGACTATGGGGACTGGTAAAGGTAAAGGGACCCCTGACCATTAGGTCCAGTCGTGGCCGACTCTGGGGTTGCGGTGCTCATCTCGCTTTATTGGCCGAGGGAGCCGGCGTACAACTTCCGGGACATGTGGCCAGCATGACTAAGCCGCTTCTGATGAATCAGAGCAGCGCACGGAAACACTGTTTACCTTCCCGCCGGAGTGGTACCTATTTATCTACTTGAACTTGACGTGCTTTCGAACTGCTAGGTTGGCAGGAGCAGGGACCGAGCAACGGGAGCTCACCCCGCCGCGGGGATTCAAACCGCCAACCTACTGATCGGCAAGTCCTAGGCTCTGTGGTTTAACCCACAGCACCACCTGCGTCCCTCACAGGGACTAGACCAGTCCCCGTAATGTTCCTGGTAAATTAGAGTATTAAAGTATTAGAGCCTGGCGCCTCCTTCTCAAAGCTTCTACCCGGCTTAGGGAGGGAGGTGCGATGCTCATGTATACAATGTCGGGCCT